CCGTCGCCGCCGCCGCTTCGGCCGCCGGCGCTTTCGCCACCGCCGTAGGTCCCGCCGGCGGCCCCGCCGGGGTACCCTCCTGAGTCGCCGCCGTCCGCCTCGCCGTCGCCGCCGCCGCCGTCCGCCTCGCCGTCGCCGCCGCCGCCTCTGCCGCCGCCTCCCTCCGCCTTGCCTGCGCCGCCGCCGTCCGCCTCGCCCTCTCCGCCGCCGCCGTCCGCCTCGCCGCCGCCGCCGCCGCCTGACGTGCAGCTGCTCGACCTCCGCGCCGCCACCACTTACCAGGACTTGAGCATCTACGACAAGCAGGCGCCCGTGAACGACCTGTCATTCGCCGACAGCACGACGGGACGGCCGTGGGCCGAGTGCGGCCAATACACAAGCCACACGTGGGGCGTCGACCTCGGGAGCGAGGTGTATGTGCGCTACGTGCGGCTGCAGAACCGCAACGACTGCTGCGCGGAGCGGCTGACGGACGTCGACATCTATCTCGGCTCGACGGCGGAGACGTACACGGGCAACGCGCTGGTGAAGTCAGACGTGAGCGTGTCGTCGAACGTGATGTTGGAGGTGGAGATCAACGCGTTGGGGCGCTACATCTACCTCAACCGGCCGTCTGCGGCGGGGCTGACGGTGTGCAAGTTCTACGTCTTCGCCTCAGCCGCACCGCCTGGGCCGCCGTCGCCGCCGCCACCGCCGCCTGCACCGTCACCGTCGCCGCCGCCGCCGCCGCCGCCTGAGGTGCAGCTGCTCGACCTCAGCGCCGCCACCACTTACCAGGACTTGAGCATCTACGACAAGCAGGCGCCCGTGAGCGACCTGTCATACGCCGACAGCACGACGGGACGGCCGTGGGCCGAGTGCGGCCAATACACAAGCCACACGTGGGGCGTCGACCTCGGGAGCGAGGTGTATGTGCGCTACGTGCGGCTGCAGAACCGCAACGACTGCTGCGCGGAGCGGCTGACGGACGTCGACATCTATCTCGGCTCGACGGCGGAGACGTACACGGGCAACGCGCTGGTGAAGTCGGACGTGAGCGTGTCATCGAACGTGATGTTGGAGGTGGAGATCAACGCGTTGGGGCGCTACATCTACCTCAACCGGCCGTCTGCGGCGGGGCTGACGGTGTGCAAGTTCTACGTCTTCGCCTCAGCCGCACCGCCTGGGCCGCCGTCGCCGCCGCCACCGCCGCCTGCACCGTCATCGTCGCCGCCGCCGCCGCCGCCGCCTGAGGTGCAGCTGCTCGACCTCAGCGCCGCCACCACTTACCAGGACTCGAGCATCTACGACAAGCAGGCGCCCGTGAGCGACCTGTCATACGCCGACAGCACGACGGGACGACCGTGGGCCGAGTGCGGCCACTACACAAGCCAATGGTGGGGCGTCAACCTCGGGAGCGAGGTGTATGTGCGCTACGTGCGGCTTCAGAACCGCAACGACTGCTGCCCACAGCGTCTGACCGGCATTGACATCTATCTCGGCACGACGGCAGAGACGTACACGGGCAACGCGCTGGTGAAGTCGGACGTGAGCGTGTCATCGAACGTGATGTTGGAGGTGGAGATCAACGCGTTGGGGCGCTACATCTACCTCAACCGGCCGTCTGCGACGGGGCTGACGGTGTGCAAGTTCTACGTTTACGGATACGTGTGAATGGAGAATGGAAATTGGAACCGTGGCCATGACAGACCGGCGGCGCGTACGTGAATGTGCATGGTATACACATGTACATGTAGTGTACAGAGCTGAACTCGTCGTGAGACGTGGACGATGTGGAATGTGAGTAGCGTTGACGCCTGTGGCGCAGAAATGATTTTTGTGATTTTCGTTCATTCGTATTGGCTTGACTTGACTTGACTCGCTGCGACGGGGCAGGCGCGGGGGCGCTCTCGTCCCGGCATAACTCAAGGTATCCGGATACAATCCGAGCTAGAAATGGTACGCGGCGGGCGGCAGGCGGCATGGGCAAGGGCCGGGTACATGTACCCTCTCACGAGACACAGGCCCTAACCGCACCGGGGAAGCGGGGAAGGGGCGCTTGGGAGCGGGGGCGGGGGCGGGGGCGGGGGCGGGGGCGGGGGCGGGGGGGCGGCGGGCTACGAGGGTAGGGGTTGGGATGCTGCCGCGTGCGCGCGCGCAGGTGGAGGGAAAGACGGCGAGGAGGGGGCGGCGGCGGCGGCGGCGGCGGCGGCGGCAGCGCGCGCGCGGCGCGCGCGACGGAGGGGCGGAGCAGCGACGGCGGGTCGTACCTGCACCCCTATGTACACCATGCTGTTCTACGTAGAGAGAGTCTAATTTGTCTACAGAGATCATTGGTTGGAGGTTGCTGTGTCGAGAAGCCGTACCCACGAGTTGTCGACGAGCCTATGTAAGTGCAGGGGAAGAGAGTGTCGGGTGCCCGGAGGAGGCTCCGCGGCGGAGGGTCCGTCCACTAAGCCGTAACCGGCACTATGGGGGTCTAATCGTCGAAGTGCATCAGCAGCCGGTCGTGCTCGCTATTGGTCGGCCAATGGGCGACGATGGTGGCGGCGAACCAGTCCGTGCTCCCATCCTCGTCCTCCCACCACGGCTTCGACGCGCTGCCCGACCAGCTTCTCCACGCCATCCGTAGGTGCGATGAGAGCCTCGCCACCGCCACCCGCCGCGGCTGCTGGGGGGGCGGCGGCGGGTCGCGGCACGTCGGGAGCCGCGGCGCGGGCACGCACCAGGGCGGCGAGTAGCACGGGCTAGCTCGAGCGCAGCGGCACGTCGATCGTCTCGCCGCTCGCGCCGCAGCTTCAGCTCCTCGCGCAAAAGCTCTGCAGTCAGCTTGCTGGGGTCGGTGGTGCCGGCGGTGCGCTGCGCGGGGGGGGGGGGGGGCATTACACATACCAGGTTTAGACCCAGTTTATCGTAAACAGGACTAATAATCTGGTCGTGTTTAGCAGTGGTCTAAACTGGTGGGTGCTCTCCGAAGTCCTCTCGCCGGACCTCGCTTCGCACATCCTCGCCCAGCTGCCGACCAAGAGCACGCCGTCAAGGGGACGTGCCGCGTGGCGCCGCGGCTGGAAGGGGACGCTGAAGAAGCGCGCCTCGCGCACTCCGACCACGATCCACGTAGGAGGACGTCGATTGGGCTTGGTAGGCTGGTAGGCTGCTGACAGACTGTAGAGCCTGAGCCCATTTTTGCGCAGCGGCTCCGCAGAGGAGCTCGATTGCTCGGCGCGGGCGGAGGGCGAAAAAAAGAATTTTGGACTCTCGTCCCTACCCAGCGCCAGCGCCGGCGAAGGCCGCGAAAAGTTAGAGGGTGCGAAATCGCTGCTGCGTCGGGATGCGGGTACCTCGCGAGAAGCCGTTCAAGCCCGGCCATCCTCACCCCCCCAAGCAGCTGCGGCCGCAATTTCAGCCGGTCCCGTGACTGCCCCGACCCGGCAGGTGCGCGTTTGAGCGAGGGCGTCCTGCAGCGCACCGAGAAGGGGCCGGTCGCGCGCAGCGCCACGCCGCAGGCGTCCGCCGGAGGCCCGCCGGAGGCTGTATGCGGCGGCCACTTCCCCTCGGTCTTTCGCCGCGCTCCGGCCGCTCCTTGGCTCCTGGCCGTCTCTTCCGAGCGGCTTTGCGCGCCCCCAACATTCCCCTGACAGCAGCGCCTCACGGCGTGGGCTGCGAGGTCACTCGGGGTGACCCAGGGGGCGGCGGGGGAGCACTCTTCCGCCGGAGTATCGACGGTCTTCCCGCTACTCGCCCGTTTATGAATGACACTGAAACGCGCAGCGGAAAAAAACGGTAAATTGGATTTCTTTTTTCCCTCCGTCTGTCTGGCCTCTGTCTGGCATCAGTATCTTCCGAAACGGAAAGGGGCGAAACTTGAGGGCGAAGAAATTTCTCGCAAATTTGCCGTGGTGGGGCACGAAATAAAGACGAAATAAATGAAAGAAATATCCTTACGCTGGGCAGGAAATCTACGTTTGCCCCAAGCCGCCGGTGAAGCCAGCCCCCTTGGGAATTGCCCCGAAAGTGACTTCAACAGAAGAGCCTGAAAAAGAAACGCGTTTGGCCCAGCAGCCGCCCCCCCGGGGCCTCCCCCCCACACACCCCGATGGCCTCCCACCGCATCGGCGCCCGCCTGTCTGGCCTCTCGCCAGAGCAGCTCGTCGCCTTCATCGACGAGGCCGAGCGTTTTTTATCTCTCGGTCTGTGGGGGGCCGAGCCGCCTCGGGGTGGCGGGCGGGCGGGCGTTTTGAAAAACAGAACACAGAAAACAAGGGGGGGGGCGGGGCCCCAGGCCCCCCACTGGGAGTAGAAATACGCCCAAGGGGGCCAAGGAGGCGGCGCGGGGAGGCAGCATCAGGTGAGAGCAGGAAGGATGGCGCTTAGGGTCGGCTTTGAACAAGGGTCTCCAGGTTTTAGATCAGTATTGGTGTCGGCACACATCCCCACATGAGGTCAGCGGCGCGCAGTGCCTCTCTCGCAGGCGCTGATTTTGGCTGTTTTCGAGCTTGTTTTTGTTTTCAGACTAGGGGGCCCGACCCCCTCAGAGGCGGCGGGCGGGCGCCCACAGACCGAGGGATCAAAAACGCTCGGCCCGAGCAGGCGCCTCTCTGGAGCGCCGCCGAGTACGGAGAGATGAGGTCGAATCTGCTGTGATTCAACAGCCGCCCAAAGGAGCGCCGCCTCAACACGGGGTCTCGGCTCTACCGAGCCATGCTAGCTCCAGCCGCAGCCCCACCCGGCCGCCCGAGGGTGTTCCCGCAGGCAGAGTCCAGAGAAGACCAATCCTGGGGGAAGTAACCGAGTGCCGAGGAGAGCCGAGTGTCATGTGTCAAGACACAAGAGCCCCACGGCATTCCAAGTGCCGTTTTAATTATAAAACGAAGCGTGCAATGGGAGCAAGGCCCAAAGGTGTATGGTTTTGCAGCGTGGGGGCGTCTCCCCAGCGCGTGTACAATAATGGTTTGAAAAGGAAAGACGGACACGCATGGCACATCACGGGATAGGATAACAAGAGAGGATTCCAAGCGCAGGGCCCCATCTGCACACGCAGCGAGAGTTCATTACAGACGCAGCCCTGCTGCGCCACCGCCCCCCTCGCATGCATTGTACCCGGAGCCCTCCCCGCACCACGCGCCCCCACCCACATCGGGCACCGGTGCGCGCCTCAGAAGGTAAACCACCCTCGTGAAGCCTGGACCTCCTCCTCGCCGTCCTGCTCCGCCTCCTCCTCGCCCTCCTCCTCCCCTGCATAATAGGAGCCGTACGACGCCGCCGCGGGCTGCCTCGCGTACACCTCGCGGTAGTGCTGGTCGACGCAGCAGTGCACGAAGCAGGCCGAGCCGTCGTCCTCCGCGAACGTCTTTGCCGTTTGCAGCGGCTCAGAGTGCGGGCAGGCGAACCTGCGTCGAGAGGAGAGAGCGTCCGGGTGCGGGTGCGAGGGGGGCAGCGAGCGCAGCGGCAGCTAAACAGACGTCGAGCTCGCCTCGCCTCTCGAGGGCTACTCGCAATACGCGGCAGGCCGGTGTTCTGCATCTCGGCTGCACCTCGGCTGCATCTCGGCTGCATCTCGGCTGTATCTCGGCTGTATCTCTCGGCTGCCTCTCGTGTTCCGCATCTACGCTTGGCGGACTCCAGCGTCCACTCGCAGTCGCACAAGTACGGCGGCGGAGGCGAGGGCGGCGGGGCCACGTAGTCCTTCCAAAAGGAGCGTCGCACCTCGTGGTTGATGGCGTCGACCAGCCCGTCCGGGCGTGGTCCGAGGCCGTAGTCCCAGTAGCTCGGCCCGTTGCACTGCTCCTGCACGAAGGTCTGGTCGGCGGAGAGGTCGTCGGCCTGGGGAGGGTGAGGGGAGGGTGAGGGGAGAGTGAGGGGAGGGTGAGGGGAGGGTGAGGGGAGATGGATTACACCTCCATAAGACGGGGGGGGGGGAGGAGGGGCGGGAGGCGCCTCCATCGTCTCCTTCTCGAGGTTGAGAAGCCCGTGCACCTGCGGGGCAGAAAGGGGGGGGGGCTCTCTCTCGGCGTATCTCAACGACATCTCGGCCGCATTGCTCTGCATCTCGGCTGCATCTCGTCTGCATCTCGGCTGCGTCTGTGCCTTCAGCTCGGAGGTGCCCATCAGCCCTCCGCAGTGCTTGATCGTGTTGTTGAAGTCGTGCAGATCGAGGTAGTTGATCAGGATGGCGCCTAGGCAATCTCGAGTCATCTCGGTGTGTGATCTGAGAGATCTCGCGGTAGCTGATCAGGGTGGCGCCTAGTCTCGGGAAATCTCGGGGGGATCTCGGCTGCTGCGGAAAGGTGCGGAAGGGGCACGGATAGAGGTGCGAGAGAGGTGCGGGGTAGAGGTGCGGGGGAGAGGTGCGGGGGAGAGGTGCGGGGAAGAGGCGAAGGAGTTGGGCCGGCAGTGGTTTGGTTCAGGGGCGGTGCGGTGCTGGTGTGTCGCCTTGCACTGTGGTGTCGATGGTCCCGCCGCCGAGCTGGACCGAGCCCCACGGGTGCGCCTGCTCGAGCGTGTAGTTGAGGCGGAGGGCCAGCTTGATGCCTGCAGGAAGGCTCCGAGAAGGTTCCGGGCGGGTCGAGGGAGCAGCCGAGGCGGAGAGGCGAGTTGGACGCCGGTGACGTGGACGGCGAGGAAGTCGGGGAGGAGGCGGTTGCCCTCGGGGCCCGGGATCCAGCATGTCCCGATCTCGACGTGGCCGATGTCGATGCCTGCTCACAGATACAGCACTGCGAGGTGGAGGCGGCAGCCAGCGCCGCAGAGACGAGGCGAGGCGGTGCTGCCGGTGAAGGTCTTGTTGTGGAGGAGGAGGGAGGTGCCTAGCTGGGAGACGAGCCGCTTGCGCGACGGCCTCCCCGCCGGCCGCGGCCACGGCCCCCCTCTTAGAAAGTCGTCGATGAAGATGTTGAGCGCCGTGGTCATCAGGCCAGTGCGCAAGTGGCAGCCCTTCGGCAGCTCGATGAGGTCCGAGGCCGGCGTCGCCTCGGAGAGCGGGACGCGATGTCCGCCCATGAAGCTGCGCACGCGTGTCTCGCCCATAAAGTCGAGCAGACCGTACTCCTCGCCCGCCTCCTCAAAGAGCAATTGGCGGCCACCAGCGCTGCCAACGACGAGGAGGAGGCCCACAGCGGCCACCACCGCGCCGAGCAGCGCCAGCCGCGGATGCCTGCGCCGTGCGGGCGTGGTGGCGAGTTGCTGCGTCTCCATTCTGGAAGGCACAGGAGGAGCACTGCCGGCGGGGGGATGTGGCTAGGACCAACAAGCGCGCGGCTGAATGAGGCGGCGAAAAATCCGAGCTCACCCGTATTCTTTTTTTTGCTTTGGCGGACCTGATGCCGGGGGTAGGTAGGGTAGGTCTGAGAAAACGAGCCAAAAGAAACCACACCTTGAGCTCGTTCAGCAGCTGCCGCTTGGGCGCTCCTCGCCGCGGCCCCCCCCCCCACGTTTGGCTCGCGGTTGCGCCAAACCGGAAAGCCCCCCTCCAGATGCTGGTCTCGCTCGCCGCCCTGCTGTCGCTCAGTCTCTCGCCGCGGGCCGCGGCGCCGCTCCGCGCCGCCGGCCTCGCTCCGCGCACGGCCGGCTCGCCCGCCATGCAGGGCGCAGCGGCGGTCGGTGAGCGGCCGTGCGTCATCACATGCTCCAACTGCAAGGCGTCGTACAGTGTCGAGGAGGACGCGCTGGGCCCCGGCGCGGGCAAGCGGGTCCGCTGCTCCAACTGCGACCACGAGTGGTTTCAGTCGGTCGCACGGCTCGCGCGGCTGCCCGAGGACATGGAGCTGGTCGAGTACCCGCAAGAGATGAAGGACCGGATGGCGGCGGGGAAGCCGGCGGAGGCGCGCGCGGCGTTCCGCGCGTACGTGGGCAACCTGCCCTTCGGCGTCGTCGAGGAGGAGCTCGCCGACCTCTTCGGAGAGTACGGCAACGTGGTGCACGTCAACGTGATGACGGATGAGGCGCGGGGTAGACTTCTCAGAACCTTCCTGCCGACGACCCCCGCGCGTGCCGCTGCGGCCCACGCCCGAGGGAGCAGCCTCCCCCGTCGCAGCGTGCGAGCAGCGACCTCTCTATGACCCGTCCCCAGACTTGTCTCCGCAGGACGGGCGCTCGCGCGGCTTCGCCTTCGTCAACATGGAGATCGCGGAGGAGGGGGCGGCGGCGGTGGAGGCGCTCAACGGTCACATGCTGCAGGGCCGCGCCATCAACGTCTCGGAGGGGAGGCAGCAGGAGGGAGGGCGAGGGCGCGGAGGGCGAGGCGGAGGGCGCGGCGGAGGGCGCGGCGGAGGGCGCGGCGGCGGGCGGGGCAGGGGGGCGTGACGGGGTGGGGTGGGATGGACCGCGGGGCGGTGGGGCAGCTGGATCTCAGCATGTGTTGCGAGACCGAGAGCGGGGCAGCACTTCCCCAAAGACTCGCGCGCCTGGACCTGACGCGCTCGTGTTTGAGTCGTTCACGTTATAAGGAGAACGGACTCCTACTCAGCTACCAAGCACAAGGCGAGGGTCGACCGCGCAGTCCGCAGAGGCGAGGAGAAGAGGGGCAACGCCTGACTGAGCGCGAGTCTCGCGTGTGTGGTCCGAGCTCCGACGTCCGTTTTCATTTTTATTTATCTTGGCGAGCGCCGCCGCCGGCTGGAGCCTCGCCGCTTCGCCACCCAACCCAACAACCCAACCAACCTCGCCGCCATCACCCACCTGGCCGCCACCAGCCTGGCCGCCACCAGCCTGGCCGCCACCAGCCTCGCCACCAGCCTCGGCCCTCACCACCGCCACGACCCTCCTTTCCCTCCTGATGGTGCGTTTGAGGCCCGGGATTCCCGCCTGCCCCATGGAGCGTGGCAACCGTTCAGGTGCCTGCTGTCCATATGCCCGATTGGTGTACAGCCACTACTCGCCAATTCAACACAGATGCTGCCCGGGCCGGCCCGAGATGCCTCAGCCTGTCAGTCATATGGGTCCACAAAAGTGGAGGAGAAACTCTGGCTTCGGGGGTGGTACGCGTCGACCCCCGCGTGCGGCGCCGAGGCAAGCCCGATTGAGTGCATAGATACGAGCGGCGGCGGGCTCTTGGGCGGTCGTTCGGCGCTAATTGGCATGTGCACCAGGCAGCTTGAGACCGAGACTGGCGAGCCGCGCTTGCGGTCATTGTACTTCCTTGCGAGCTCGTCCAGGTCTGGCTCCGTCCTGTCGGCGCGCCGGGCGGTGGGCGCGGGAGATCTAGCTGCGGCTGCCTGGCGGAGTGATTCCTGCTCTGCCGCCGCCTCGTCAAGGTCGGGCCTGCGGCGCGGTGGCTCCTGCGGCGCGTTGCTCCAGGTCAGGATGTTGACGTCGGTCGTCTGAGGCAGCCGCTGCGGCGGCGGCGGCGGCGAACCCTCGCTGGAGCAGTATAGAAGATCTTTCGTGCTGAGGCCGTCGGCCCGCGTCGCGGTGCCAAAGACGTGTGTCGAGGGCGCCTCTTCCGAGGTGGGGTGGCCGTGCCGCTTCCACGAGGTGTAGGCAGCGTGGGATGGGCCAAAGGTCGAGGCGGGTAAAGCCTGCAAAAGTTCGCCGACGCTACCGCTGGACTCGCGGCGCGCAGCTCCCGCGGGGCGCATCTCGTGCTTGCGTCCCAGAGTGCCCTCGCGCATGCTTGCCCCGGCGCGGGACGTTGGGGCAACCCCTGCGGGAGTTCGTTTCGATATTGCGTTCGTTACATATTGAACTTTGAACGATCTCCACTTTGAACGATTGCACACACCTCACGAATAAAGAGAACCCCTCCACTACCTCACCCCGTCCTGGTTTCTTAATCTCCGGGGCCTCCGGCTGGGCTAAGCTGCCGGTTGCCGCGCCCTAAGGTAAAATTTACGAGAAATTTACTGTGTGTCTTGTGAGCCTGTTTGTGTCTGTGTGTCGCTCATGCGTGTCGTCATCGTCTGTCTAGCGTCCACCCATACCGCGTTGGTGTCCAGTCCGAGCCTGGCTGTTCTTCACCTTCCTATTCAACTAAATTTCTCTGTGTACCTGTGTTAGTGCCAGTGCGCGCCAGTCCCGTGCCCAGTGTCGTTCGGTTCTTTCTAACAAATCCTTTATAAAAAGAAAACATTGGGGCGTCAAAAGTCACTTTCGTCCCAGCATCGACCCACCCCGACAGCACATGCGTCACTCGGAGGCCATCACGCTGGCGCGAAGATCACGCTCCTCCGGAGAGGACGGCGACCTCGCCATCGTCCGCCACTCGAGTGCACCCATCCGCGTGCCGCAGACGCCGCAAGAGGAGCTGCAGCGGCTCGAACGGTGGCATGCGGCGGTGCGGCGCGGTGCGCACTCGGCAGTGCAAGCGGCGCTTCGCGAGGGGTGGGCGCCCGTCAATGCACCTGACAGCGCCGGCTTCACCGCGCTCATGCGCGGCTGCATCAGCGGCCAGCTGCTCACGCTGCTCCTCGCGAGCCCTCGCTGCGACGTCAACGCGGCGGCGGCGGCGGACGGGTCGACGGCGCTGCTGCTCGCGTCGCGGTACCGCTCCGCCAGCGTGGTCGACCGGCTGCTGCGCCGCGGCGCCAAGATGACGCGCGAGAGAGGCGGTGCCACGGTGCTGCACCGCGCGACTGCCAACGCCGATGCGTCGGTGGTGCAGCTGCTGCTGCGCGAGGGCGCCGCCGCACCTGCGCGACATGAGAGCACCCCTCCTAGAGCCGTGCTGGACCTCTCCTGGACATTGTAGGCGCGCCGCCGCACTTGAGGGATGGAGAGGGGCGTTGCCCGCTCGCGGCGGCGCTGCTGCACAATAACCGCGCCGCGGCCCCCGCGCTGCGGCTGAGCGGGGCCCTTCCTGGGCCCCTCCTAGACCCGTCCTAGACCCCTCCCTAGGCCCTCGCGCTCCTCGACGAGCGGGACCGCTCCCTGTCCGGGAAGAGGCGCGACTGCGGATCTCGCGGCGACACGCACGCCTCGCCGCCGCGACTGAGCCACGCCGCTTCGGACGCACGCGCCTCCGCCGCCGCCGCCGCCGCTGCCGCCGCCGCTGCCGCCTCCGCTGCCGCCTCCGCCGCCGCCGCCGCCGCCGGCGGCGGCGGCGTCTCCGTTGCCGGCGGCGCTGCCACCAACGTTGCCGTTTGCTCTCTTGAGCCCAAGGCGTGCGGGAGCGGCGCGGAGGCGGCGGCTGCGGCGGAGGCGAGGGTGGCAGAGGCAGAGGCGGAGGCGGAGGCGGAGAGTGCTTGCGGCATCGACAGACTTCCCGAGGAGACCTCGGCCTGATCTCCCCCTCTCGTTCGATGACACGTCCCTGACGCGTCCCGGGCATGTCCGACAGGAGGCGCTCGACATGATTCTCGCTTCTCTGGCGCCGGACTCGCCACGCCCCTCGCGCTGCCTCCCCTCCTCCTCCTCCTCCTGCTCCTGCTCCTCCTGCTCGCCCTGCTCGTCCTCTTCCTCCTCGCACGGCAACGCCCTCCTGCGCCACCGCGCTGGGTCCGCGAACCGCAACCCCTCTTCACCCCCCTCCCCCCTGCATAGGTGGCTGCGCCTCATCAACCGCCGCCACGCTTGCAGCGGCCGCTTCCACCTCCCACGATCCCGCCGCCGCCGCCGCCGCCGCCGGCGGCGGCGGCGGCTCCGAGCAGGGCGTGGGAGGGCAGCTGCCGCGCCCCGCCGACCCCGCCGCCGCCAAGGAGGCTGCCGAGGCCGCCGCCGCGTCCCTCTCCTCGATCGCCGCCACTTGCGCGCGCATGCGAGCCGCGAGCCGCCGGCGCGTGCCGAGATACAGCAGAGATACAGCCGAGATACAGCCGAGACGTAGCCGGCATGCAGCCAGCATATAGCCGACACATCGTCGCTGGCACGTGCCCCGTCGTCGCCCTCGCCCTCGCCCCCTCGCCTCCCTCGCCCAACTACCACCTCGCTCACCCGCCAGCCAACCCCCCCCCCCCCCTCCCCCCTTTCCCCCTCCCCCTCCCCCGGCAGGCACGAGATCCTGCGCTGGATGTCCCCGACCGCTCTCAACCGCCTCGTCCCGCGTTTCCACCCGCGCTGGCGCAGCACCGCCCCGAGCGCCGCCACCGCCGCCTCCGCCGCTACACGCGCGACGCGCCCGTTGGCTGCGATGTAGGCAGCGCACCACTCTGCTGCACCTCGCTGCGGCGCACGGCGCGGACTCGGGCGTGGCCGTGGAGGAGGCGGGTGGGGAGAGGCGAGCTTCACGGCTCGCAGTGTGAGCAGGCATGGAGGACGTCGCGTTGCGGCTGCTGCAGCGCGGCGCGGCAGTCGAGGCGGCTGAGTTGGTCTCTCTCTCGAGGGCTACCCTGGTGTCGGGTCACGTCGCCTCACAAGCCCCCCCCCCCCCCCTCTCCGGAGTCAGGCGCGCGACTCGTGCGGCGCGACGCCGCTCGACGAGGCGCGGGCCCACAACCGGCCGCAGGTGCTCGCTCTCCTCCTCGCGTGGCGGGAGCGCCGCGACGGCACAGCCGCGCAGGCGCCGGGCCGCGCCGGCGGGCAGTCGAGGTGGGGAGTTGGCCAGGCCCAGGGTAGACAGTCATGACGGATCGCCACCTCTCGGCCGTGCCGAGCCTCCGTCCGCAGCTGCACGGCGCTGGGACGATTCATACAGGAGACACATCTGAGAATCCAGTGACTGAGCTCTGAGCGGCACCATTTGTCCACGGTGCACTGAGGCAAAATATGGCCAAAAATGGGGGGCAAAAATGTCGGCAAACGTACCAAAGAACTCTCAGAGAGAGTTTCTCTCCTCTGGGGGGAGGCGGGGCCCCTAGGGGGTACCCATGGCCATGCGGGGGGGAGGAGATGGGGTCCCATGGCCCGCCGCAGGCGCCGATTTTTTCGTGATTTTTTCTTTTTTGCGCGATTTTCTGCTTCATGAGAGTTTCGCGTATTGGCTATTGCGGTCATGAGAGTTTCGCGTATTGGCTATTGCGACCATGCTATCACGCCTTGCGACAGCCTGTCGGCGCTGCTGACCGTGCCCTGCTGCACAATACAATTGACCACCTGCATAGCTCGCGGCCTTAGTATCCAGCATTCAGTGACGACCTGATCGTACGGCCAGTAGGAAGGTGTCCTTCCAGCTGCGTGCACGCTTCTGACGCATTGCGCGTCACAAACTGCCTCGGATTGGCTGCTGGCACTCTCGAGGCTATGCCTACACAGCCTCGCGCGCATGGGCAGTCAAGAGGGACCATGCACCTTCTCACGACAGCGCCGGTGCCTCTCTCTTGGACCGGCAAACGTGGTGGTCTCGTGTCACCAATGTGGGACCAGTGCGGCATCGCGCCATCGACAGCTCTGAACTGCGCCTCACCACTGACCGGGAAGGCCGCCAAGTGGGTCAGCACCGGTCGCACATTGTGGCAGCAGTCAGCAGCGCATGTCTGATAGCTAGAGCAGCAGCGTCAGGGTCGCAGGGTCGGATCGTGTCAAGCCTCTCGCCCGGCCGGCCGCGTGCAGACGTCGGCCTGTCTGCTGTCTGGAGTGATCTGTCGGCGGTCAGTACGACCGATCAGGTCGGAGTTTTCTGATGGTTGGAGGGTCTATCTGTATGCACTCCTCGAGATCTTTCCAAATCTGCCCTCTACTTAACCGTAATCATTCGGGAAGTCGGTACTCTGAGCGACTCTGAGCGCCGGAGCCCCGTTTCCGCACTGCGGCGCGGCGCACGGTGCCTCCGGGGGCCCCCGCCTCCCCCCAGAGTTTCTCTCCAGCTCAGAGCCCAAACAAGAGATTTTTGTATTCGTGTTGTGAAAACCAAGTGTACGTAGATCACGCCGATGAGCCGCTTCGCGTCGTAAATCGTGTTTACCGGGTTGAGCGAGGACTGCGAGCGCGCGGCGTCGCCGACCAGCCGCTCGCCGTCGTCGGTGAACGCCACCCACGACGGCGTCACTCGGTTCCCCTGCTCGTTGGCGATGATCTCCACCTTGCCCTTCCGGTAGACTCCGACGCAGGAATAGGTGGTGCCGAGGTCGATGCCGATGACGGGACCGACGGCCTCCGCCTCCTCGGCGGTCGCCGCCGCGGCGAGAAGCGGGATGAGCGTTATGAGGAGCCTCATCGCGCTCGACGACACGGCGCCGCGCGCGGCTAAGTTTGGAAAAAAGAATTTTACAACAAAACTCTCTCGCACACGCACGATTCACACAACAGGCAAAGCGCGGACGACGGCTTCTAATAGAAGCCGTCGTCCCTCACAGAAGCCGTCGTCGGATTCGCAGTCAGAAGGCGGATGGTCGAATCCGCGAGCACCGTGGTGCTCGCCGAGAGGACCATCCCCATCCCACTCCCCTTCATCCCAACCGCCCCCACCCGCGCGCCTACCCCGCCGATGGCCGTTGGGGCGGGAAATCCCGCCCCACCCACCATTGCGAAAAAAGAATTCATGGAGGAAGCACCCGCGCACGACACCACGGGACTGGCGCGCACTGGCACTAGCACAGGTACACCACGGGAGCCGCCTAAGCGACTCCAGCGAGGGCGGCGAGGCACTTAGCTCCGTGCACCCGTCCGCCGCCCCCGCCACAGGCAAGCTCAACATTCACAATCTGCTCTGCGATTGCCGTGTGAAGAACGACCGAGATACGCTGCTTCTGCAGCCCCAGCCAATTCTTAGTGGTCCAAGTCACCTCATCGAGGGGTACTGGGCCCGCGTCAGCTTGTTCTGTAGCACGTCCGCCGCTTTCCGGAGGATCTCGCGGACCCTCCTCCCGAACCCGCCGAACGATTCGAACAGCAGCAGCTGCACGTCAACGTCCTTGTCTTCCCTGGCGTAGCGATAGGAACGAAACGAAAGAATTTTACAAAGACGGTCGCACGACACGATTCGCGCGACAGGCGAGGCGCGGGCGACGGCTTCCTCAGAAGCCGTCGCCCCCACCACAGGAGCAGTCACACCACTCCCACTCCGGCGCCCACCCACTCCCCACCCCGACATCCCCACCCCACCCCATTACCCCGCCCCACCTGTGCAAGAGCCAGCAACTCTGCTACTCTTGAGAGTTGAGTCTTGTCTGGGGACATGTGACGAATCCGGCACGTCCCCAAACCCATCAGACGATGTCCGTTGCGGCCGTCCGCCGTTCGTATGCCTCCCCTTTCGAGAGCCCAGACTGCAGCGAATGCATGGCATTCATTGAGTGGACCTGAGAAGGTGCGCGAGCAACATCAGCAGCATCGACCTTTTCGTCCTCGTCAATGTCCAGGTCGTCATTTCCTGCTTGGTAAACAAAGACGGCAAGGATCATCACGGCGAACCCTATGACCTGAACGTAGGAATACTGTTGCCACTCTTCGCCCAACGGAATCGGATCATCCTTCGTATACGTAAAGACGGCGAGCCCAACGAGCCACACGATGAGGGTCCTCAAGTTGTCGATGACGATTCTGAACGTCGCGCCAAGCTGACCAGACATGCAGATCAGAGCGTAGTTTGTAACGAAGAAGCCAAACACCAAGAAAATCGCCGATGCGAGAACAAAGTGATTGGTCCTCATCAACATCAACGAGTCCGCTGTATTCTCCAGCACACCGCCCACGTCAGATCCAGGCGCAAATTGCGCCACTAGCAACGCCGGGCTCATAATAAGCAGACCCCAAGCACCTTCCATACCAACAATGAGCGCGGCGTCAACCTTCATATCTGCCATAAACGACTCCTCCACTAGGTTCTGCGCTGCGAAAACAAGCTGCGAAAACGCGAGAAGAACCATGCCAACCGCTTGCTCCTTGGGGCTGCCACTGCCAGCGCTGTCGCCATTCAGCATCGACGCAGCTCCCACAAGAACGGCAGCGGATACCATCATCAGGATCGCAAGATAGTGCTTGGAAAGAAGCTTCCGCCCGAGGAATAGCACGGCGCCGGTTGCACAGAAGACAAGCTCAGTCCCGCACAACATACGGTACACACTTGCACTCACGTACAGAAGACCATAGTTGACGAGCGCAGTACCGACAACGTCGAACAGTGTAGGAATCAGGATTCGGAATCGAGCCCTCGAATCAGCCCAATCGGATACCATGAAGAGGCAGATAACCATTCCCGTGAACATGAAGACTTCGTTCATGATCGGTTTCTCGAAATGCCTGTATTGTATCAGCGCATGAACTTTTTCGTCGGGAAGCGGTATGCACGTCACGCCAAAGCCATCGCAGTCAACCGCACTGTCGTAAGGCATGGTTACGGGAATCTGATAGATCATCTTAGTCACAAATGACGTCAGCGACCCGACAGTCAATAGCAGCGTGATTGAAACGCGCTTGGGCAACATGGCTTGGCTTTTGCTTCTGTCTGATTTTCCCAGCCGACTCCGTGAACTCTCGAGCGGATATCGAGTTGCGGAGCAGCGAGTACGACCTCTGTTCACACCGAGCAGCGGCTGCGGCTATAGCAGAGCTCTTGCTTGATACGTCTCTCGCGACGACGAACGCGACGAACACTCTGATAAGACGTAGATCTATTGCGCGAGTGGAGATCACACGAGATCGGGAGATCGCTGGTGAACTGGAAGAAATCAGAGTGACGCAAACGCCAGGCTACACGGGGAGGCACGTAGTAACGCTGTCGAGTACGCGACTTTTGATTCTCTCTTTCTTCTTCTCGAGGTCTCGATCGAGGTTGAGAGCGTTCGCTTTTTATTTATGGTCGGTTGTTGGTCTGTCTGTCTGGAAGTCTCTCTCTCTCTCTCTCTCTGTCTGTCTGGGGCGACGGCGACGGCACGACGCGGCGCGGCGCCGATAAGTCACGGCGCGGCTGCGGCGCTGCTCAGGCATGGGGCATGGCGGCGAAGCGAAAAAATGGGGCAAGGGCGCTCGGCCCTGGGTGTGAGGCTACCGACTGCACTCACTCCAAGTGCTCCAAGCGCGGCCCGCGGCTCGGTCGGTCGGCTGTCGGCCTATACATACAAATTTTGAGCTGAGTCGGGCTATACTATACCAGAGTGGGGGAGTCAGAGCCACAGTTTTTGAGTCCGTCGCTCAGTCCGTGGCACCGGGAAAAAAGGGAGGGGGACTAGGAGGGGGAGGGAGGAGGGGGGGGGGAGAGAAAGAAGATTGGCTGACTGACGCTGGGTGAGAAAGAAATCAAGGCGGCGCATTACAGAGCCGCAAAAGAATTCAACGAAATGAACTCTCTCTCACAGCACACAGGTTCGACACAGGTACGCCACAGTACCAAAAGAGGCACAGTCGCGGGGGCGCCTACGCGAAGGCGTCGAGGTGGGCGAAGGGGGGAGGGCGGCAATCGCCCTCACCCTTACGACGCCCACCCCGGCACTCTCCGTCAACCCACACCTCCCTCTCAAGCGCAATCTCCCTGCGCGCCGCCAAAAGAAATCCCCCACGAAGAAGAGAGGCGGCCCAAGAAGGAAAGAAAAAAGAAAATCCCGTGAATGACCTGTCTCACAAACAAATATTGCCAGTCTCAAGGCTCATGTAGCCCCAATGGATGCTGCGAAATAAGGTGTAAAACCATTGTAGCTCGATCGGTCACACCGCCACCACCGCCGACGTCTGGGGCTCTCCCGGAATCGACCCTCTCCAGTGCTCAAGTGCTCAAGTAAAACCAAGGGCCCGGAGGGCCTGACCACGAGTCTCTGGGGGGTCCTCGGCCACGTGACCCCCCCCCCCCCCCTCTAGCACATGCACATGCACATGCACATGCACAACAACAACATGTACATGTACATGTCATGCCGCATGTCCATGTGGTGTGCAGAGAAGTGCGCGAGAAGAGAGTTTCTCTCAGATCTCATCATCCGCGGCCTCTACAGCAAGGCGACACAAGGCACGATCCGTGCCGTCGCCATCGGCGCCACCTCCTCCCAAGCGTTCGTAGACGAGTCGAATCGTTCTACCCTGTTGATTAGTACGTCCTCCTCTTCCTCGTCCTCCTCCTCATAGTTCTGCCCGCCCACAGCATAAAGCTTGCCGTCGAGCACCGCCACGCCGTGACCTACCCGCGCACTCGCCATCGGCGCAGCCGCCTCCCAAGCGTTCATCTCGGGATCGTACCGCTCGACCGAGCTGAGCGCGCCGCCGTTGTACCCGCCAACAGCGTACAGCTTGCCGTCTAGCACCGCCACGGCGTGTTCAAGCCGCGCCGACGCCATCGGAGCAACCGCCTCCCACGCGTCCAACGCCGGGTCGTACCGCTCCACGGAGCTGCGGGAGGCGCCATTGCTGCGCCCACCCACAGCATACAGCTTGCCGTCGAGCACCGCCACGCCGTGAGCCTGCCGCGCCGCCGCCATCGGCGCCACCGCCTCCCACGCGTTCGTCGCCGGATCGTACCGCTCGACCGAGCTGAGGCGGCCGACGCCGTCGCTTAGACCGCCAACAGCATAGACCTTCCCGTCGAGAACCGTCACGGCGTGATTCTCGCGTGGCGTCGCCATCGGCGCCACCGCCTCCCACGACTTCGTCGCCAGGTCGTACCGCTCCACCGAGCTGGAAGTTGCGCCGTCAGCCTCATTCCTGCCGCCCGCCGCGTAGAGCTTGCCATCGAGCACCGCCGTGCCGACATACGTGCGTGCCGACGGCATCGGCGCCACAGCCTCCTCCTCCCACTCATTCGTGGACGCGTCGTACCGCTCCAGCGAGTTGAGGAACTCGTAGTCGCTGCCTTCGCCGCCGAACACGACCAGGCGCGGCCTCTCGCGCTTCTTCAGCGTCTCCTTCCAGCCGCGGCGCCACGCGCGGCACGTCCCCTTGATGGCGTGCTCCGTGGTCGGCAGCTGGGCGAGGATGTGCGGGGCGAGGTCCGGCGAGAGGAGGACCTCGGAGAGGATCCACTCGGGCTGCTCCACGAGCCGTGCGGCGTGCTCCTCCGCCACGCGCAGCGCGGCGTCGCTCGCGCCCGCCTGCGCCTCGATGATGGCGCACAGCTGCTCTGGCGAGAGGCCCGCGACGCGCGCGCCGATGCGGTGGGAGGCCATCCGTGCGGCGCCGGGCGGCCCCCACCGCCGATTTCTTTTTCTTGTAATGTGAGGCTCTGATGTGAGCACGGCGCCGCAGGCGCCTGTTGATAGGTCCAGGTGATAGCCCTGGATGGGCAATGCATTCGCCTACTTGGGCCTCAGATCGCCCGAGCGCGTCCCGGTGCTCTGTGGTCGGATTTGTGACGCCGCCGCACCGCGCCGCGGCCGGGGGCCCGCCGGAGGACGAGGATGGCCGTGACGGGACGGGACGAGCTCTGGCCTCTGGGAGGTTCAGTGTCAGTGAGTATATTGTAGAGGCCACCCATGTGCACAATATCCTGACTGAGAGCTAAGCCAGGGGAGGCGATGCCGGGGCCGTACAGCAGCTTGATGGTGCTTCGCCGGCGTAGAAGCGGCCGCGGAGGGCTCCGGGTGTCTGAAAAAGACGGATTTACGTGGGCTGTGGGAGATTTACTGTCGACTCAAACGACACTGTGGCGTAATCCTCTCATATATGGCTAAATATTTACCGAGCCGTTTTAAAGTTCCACCGCTACGACTGGAGATATATCGAGATTTGGTCACCATGACCACTATCAATGAAGCAAAAGGGTTACCTAGTCTTTTTCCTTGATCTTTCTTGCGGCGTCTGGAGATAGCGAAAACCGCCCGTCGTCTTTGATCCACAGGTGAGATGCCCTCCCCCGTGTCCCGCGGAATCTTGCTGGCATTGGGAGTTGTGGTGCAGAGCGGGAACGAGGCGCTTCCAAAGATCTTCCAGTCAAGGGTGCCGTGCTCCGGAGTTAGTAACCGAGATGCCGGCGCCGCCGTCGCCGCGGACCGTTTTCGCCAGCACAAAGAGTGCTACGTGAGAAAGCCGGTGACGACGTCCTGCAGTGGCGCCACTTCAAGGTTGCGGCGATTCAGTTGTGCCCATTCAGCGAGACGCTATTCCTCGTACCTCGACAACGACATATGGTTGCGAAACGCGAGTCGGCTGCTCGGGTGGTTTGATCGGCTCCGAGACACGACGCTCGTCTCCGGCCGATGGACACCCGCGCTAACAAAACAAATTCCGCGCTCGTCACGCCAGGCCTCAACACATCCCTGGTGCCATTCGATTTACCGAGGTGAACAGCGGAACCTGTTTCTGAGGTGCCCGCAGACTCAGTCCTCAGAGGGACTGTCAGAGGCTCAGAGGTCAGAGCGCCCAAACACCACGCTGCGTCGATGTCGGCGGAGCAGAGCAGACAACTGCAGACGCCTTCGAGCGCCTGCAGACCAACCGACTCGAGGATTCACAGACCTTGTTATTGACAAGAAAATACGTCCTATGGCGCTTTGCGCTGGTCTATGAGAGGTTGAGGTGCGAGCCCTGGAGGCCCTGGGGATGGGGGGAGACTACCCGCGGGCCTAGAAGGCCCGCGCGCAGGGGGGTGGGACATTGAGATTGAAGGCGGAGGTGGAGGTGGCCGAGGCTCGGCGCGAGCACGGCTGGGAGCGGCAGAGGGTTCAGGATCCGGGCAAGCGCGGATCTTAGAAGAGGGGTGGCTTTGGTTGGTCACGATCGGGACGGATGACACGTCTGATGCAGACATGCGGTCACCCTCGATTCCTGTTTGTTGAATGTTGAAGCCTACGAGGGGGTGCTGTAGGGTCTAGAGAGAGAGAGAGATTTTTAGCAATACCAAACAGGGTCTATGGAAACAAGAAACGGGGACGAACCAAAGAAAGAAAGAAAACAGACAATTCCTGCACGGGAGGGATGAAACGGGTTGCAAGGTGCGCCGTGGGCGAAAAAACTCTTCACACTGATCTCGAGAAAGGTTGCGACGGTCCCCCGTCGTGGTCTGAGCTCAAAGCTGCTAGCTGTGCACGGCGAAGCAAGCAAGCAACTCTTCACAAAAACACAACCACGGACCCAAGACGCACAAGCTCGGACAGTCGAGAAAGGGATCGACAGCAACGACAGTCAGAACTACGCAACGACGCCGCCGCTGAATTCGCGGTAAATTCGCGCTAAATTTGCGCTAAATGTGCGCTAAATTCGCGCTAAAGTGCACTAAAGATGCAGTAGATAAACACTTCACACCGCACTAAATTTAGACCCGGGCGCCCTCCTCTGAGCTCTAGCTGCACGGGGAAGCCAGCAAGCAAGTCTTCACATAAACGCACAACTCCGGACCCAAGACGCACAAGCACAGACAGTCGAGAAGGGGGAGAGACAGCAACGACAGTCAGAAGTCTTCACACGATCTCGAGCAGGTTGGACTCCCTCGTGGTCCGAGCGAGCTGCACGGCGGCGTACTCCTGCCTTACTCCTAGTCTGCCTCTGCCCCCGAGCAGCTGCATTCCTTATAAGCGGCGGCGTCGCTGCGTGTTCCGGATGGAGGACGCGTCCCGCCAGCTTGGCGACGGCCCGAAATTCGCGACCGGCCTCCAGCAGCGGCTGGAGCTGCGACATCCTAGGAAAGGAGCGCTCGCGTCGCGAGGTCCGAGGTTTGTATGGATGGCAGGGGAGGAGGCTGGAGTCGGCGAGGGCATCGACATGACGGAGGACTGTCACTGCCACGTGGGCTTATGCCCTTGCCAGGACCCGGACGAGCAGCTCTCCGGCGCGGAGGGCAACGCGCCGGCGCCGCCGGCGCCGGCCAGACTGGCGCTGTGGAGAGGGGCGGCGACGGCGGCGGGCGATCCGGAGGCGGCGGGCCGTGCGGCGCCTGAGAGCAGCAGTAGAGGTGACCTGGCCTCCCCAGCCTCCGCCGAGGTCAGGGCGGATGCTGCCGAGGCGGATGCGTCAGCGGATGCGTCAGCGGATGCGTCAGCGGATGCGCGGGCGGAAGCACGAGCGAGGGGCGGAGCAGCGGAGGGGGAGGAGTGCGGCGAGGTCGCCTCTGCCGCCTCCGCCTCCGCCTCCTCCCCCTCCGCCGCCGCGCCAGCCGCCGCAGCTACATTTTCCGCGGCGTTGGCGCCCGCGCCGCCGTCTCTGCCGGCGTCGACGGCCCTCCGCTGCACGCTGCCCGATGGGGAGCCGGGTGTGTGTGACGGCGGCGCGGAGGCGGGTGCTGGTACAGCCCCGCCGCGCGCTCCTCGCCACCCGGCGATGCGTCCCCGGGCGGGGAGCGGGTCGCTGGCCGTCGGGGCGGAGAAGGAGGCACACGCCCACCTCGCCGCCCCGGACGCAGCCTCGGCTCCGACGTCTCCGATGTATGGCCCTACGGCGGGGAGGGGAGGGGGCTGCTGCAGCGGAAGCGTTCCGAGGGGAGGCGCGTGCCCCCTTCTCCGCCCCGACGGCGAGCGACCCGCTCCCCGCCCGGGGACGCATCGCCGGGTGGCGAGGAGCGCGCGGCGGGGCTGTACCAGCACGCGCCTTCGCGCCGTCGTCACACACA